GGGGACTGGCAACGGGATCACAACCCTTGGCGCTGCGCCCACACCTCGCTCAGCCAGTGAGCGGGAACCGGTCTGTATGTGGGATCTGAACCCTCGGCGGGAGCGCCACCATGCTCCCAAGCGGCGCACTGTAGCAGTGCACCACCGGGCCGGCCCCAGACTTTCATATTCTTAATTATACCATCAGTTGTGATAGAGCAAAGAAATCCTGATCACTCGAGCACAGATAACAACCCATCACTGTCATGGTTAGACTAGGGTCACTGCCAGACTGCCCTGTGATAACAGGAAATGGTTTATTATTTGCCAGACTACAGCATCTTTCACACTAGATATACCCCAAAATAAGTATTTGTTGCTTACTGTGTCATTTCTTTCTTTTATAAACACATGCTATATTGATACTTTCAGTACATTTTTACATGTAAATAATCGATTACTGAAATCCGAAATATCTGATGTATATATCCAGTTCTTCTAAGACCCACCTACATACAATGACACTTGACAATACTTCAGCGTCCAAAGCTTGGAATCCAGATCTGAAAAAGAAGGTTGAAGTGCCTTCTATTCAGGCCACTGCATGAGGGCATTTCTTGAGAGTGCTGCAGCCAGGGTGGGATGATACACATTTGCTTCAAGGTCAACTGAACAAGTCCTGCCAGGCCTGGCTTGCTGGGGAGACACTCAGCAGATCAAAATATTGCCAACTCCTCCTCCAATCAGCACTGATATACACACCATTGTGACTCGGTTTCCTCATCTTTGAAATGGGAATAACCATACCTGCTTCAGAGGGGGTTGTCAGAATTAAAGGCAACAGTATGATGCTAAAGAGGAGGATGGTGATTATAATAACCAACACTTACTGAGCACTAAATGCATATCAAGTGATGCTTTGCATACAGTCTCATTTACTCCCCCACGATGAGGTCTTACTGTGATGCCCTCCTTAGAGATGAGAAAATTGCTAATGGGAAGATAATGGTTGCAAAGCAGCAGCATAGTGATTCGCATGTAACAGCTGCTTGGTAAATGTTAGCTTTCAATCTTATGGGACTGTAACAACTTTTTTCAGTTTTCAAGGGTATTTTCCTTAACAGAAAATCACCATGGCCACCTCTGTTTACGTATCACAGCTGACTAAAATGTTCCTGTTTGTAATTCCAAACTTTGAAGCCTTTGTTGCCTTTGTTGATCTTGGAAGCATTTCTCTTTGAGTGTAATGGAGACTGCCGCTGTCAAAAAATTAATTGCCCTCTTGTTCTTAAGTCACAGAGTTGTTGAAACTAGAGGCTAAATTCCCGAGCCTTTCTTGCAGTTAAGTCATCCATTTGACTAGGCCTTTGCCAGCAGATGTTAACAGATGAGATATATTCCACTTCTGAGGTCAGGGCTCTTAACAGACTGCGTGTGTCTCCTCCACACTCTCCCTCCCTTACTTTGCTCCAGCTGAAACCCAAACATGCAATGACCCAGCTTGAACCAACCAACAACAAAGCTCTAGGCCAGAGGTCAGCAAACTATGGCCCAAGGTCAAACCTGGCCTGCCACCTGTGTTTGTAAATAAAGTTTTATTGTAAAACAGCCACACCCATTTGTTTACATATTTTCTATGATCCCTTTCATGCTACAACAGCAAAGGTGAGTAGTTGTAACGAGACCATATGACCCACAAAGTCTTTACAGAAAAAGTTTGCCAATCAATGCTCTAGGGGATAGCAGACCACAAAGTGATTAAAAATAACCTAGACCCCTTTAATTTCTCCTTTTACCCATAGACTATTTAGAAATATGTTGTTAATGGGCCGAGCCCGTGGCGCACTCGTGAGAGTGCAGCGCTGGGAGCGCAGCAGCGCTCCCGCCGTGGGTTCGGATCCTATATAGGGATGACCGGTGTGCTCATAGTGTTCAAGCGCGGTGCGGCCGGTCTCAAAAAGGACAAAAAAAAAAAAGAAATATGTTGTTAATTTTTTTTAACTAATATATATTTTTTTATATTCTATGATGTTATTGCAGAGCAGTTGGGAGGGAGGGGGAGAGGGGAGAAGGCAAAGGGGAAGGAAATGGGATGGAAGAAGGAGGAAGGAGAAGGGGTGGGATTGAGGCCTGTGGCACCCCCCACATTCCCACAGGAAAGACCAGGGGGCTTCCAGCAGTGGCGTGGTCATTGTCAGGCTGGATGCAGGTGTTAGGGGTGTGTGGCAAAAGCCCTCACTTCCCACCTCCCCAGCTCAGGAACCCGGGGCCCGTCTTGCTGTAGCTTGGTGGTCATTGCTGGGCTGGCTGTGGGTGTGGGGGGTGTGTGGCCAAGGCCTGAAGCCCCACAATGCCCTAGCTCAGGAGAGCCCAGGGAGTTTCCTATGGCGGCTCAGTGGTCGTCGCTGGGGTGGTTGCACTTATGGGGGGGGTTGTGGCTGAGGCCTGGGGCCCCCACACTCGGGACTGGTTGCAGGTGTCTGGGGTCATGGCTGGTCATGGCCCCCAGCCCTCCCTACTTTCTGTTGTGGTAGCCCAGGGGACTTCCGGTCCTTCTACATGTTATAGGTGTTCTTTGGTGAAATGAGACCTTTACTAGTTAATATCAAACTTTGTCTCTGGTTGTGGGTACTTTGTTCTTTCTTTCAGTTCTGTGTTGGATTGTTTGCTGTTCCCATCACTCAAACTCTGCACTGGAACTAATTTGTTGTCCTTTGCTTACTTCTAAAACGGGGAAACTTCCTGTGGGACCAGCACTTGAGCTGCGTGGTTGAGATAAATTGCTGCTTTGGTGCTGATTCCCTAGGGAAGGTTTTGCGCAGCTCAGGTTTTAACGGTTGACTTTATAGGTACTTCCAGGTCTAGTGAAATCAGGTGCACCTGGGGTGTGTAGAAACTCTGGTCTGGGCCTGAGTCTTTTCATCAAACTGCACCTCATGCAATTCTATATTCCTGACCAGTCTCCTCTGAGTGGTCCTGCACTGACTGGGGGGCAGATCAGCTGTCCTTGCTGTGCTCCAGTGTTCCCCCAGTGGTCCCGTCTCCCTCACCATCCATGCTCCAAACACGTCCCATGGGACAGGCCATGCTCTGGTCCCTTGTGTTGACTCACCAGCCTCTGAGTTGCTCCTTTTTTTCAGTTGTTGTGTCTCCTCACTCCTATGTGGGTCCATGGGAACCCTATTAGTGGTCTTGCTGGCCCGGGGGCCACCAAGGCCCTCTTCTCCTCCCCTGCCTCCTCCAATTAGCTTCATCCAAAGGGCACAGCTGTGGCTTTGCTGGCTTCTGCTCCATGCGCTCAGCAGCTCCAGCCTGGATGCAGCCAGGGCTCGAAACAGTCAGCAGTTCTTTCTTTCCTCATCGTGGCTTCTGCCACCTTCATGCTCTCCATAGGTCTCTCCTCCTCTTCCCCTGAGCTCTAGCCGCCCTGGCTTGGCTATCATTGCTTTTTAATAGTTGTAAATCAGTTAATTTGTGGGAGAGAGTGATGCTGAGGACCCTCTATTCTGCCATCTTGACTGGAAGTCTATTTAATTTTAAAGCAATTGTGGGCTTTCTAATTAATCTGCTTTGCTGTTGATCTTTATTCTAATTCCATTGTAGCCAGAGAACATATTCCAGATGATTTCAATCTTTTGAAATTATTCAGGCTTTCTTTATGGCCCAAGATATGACCTATTTTGGTAAATGTTCCATGTGCACTTGAAAAGCATATGAATTATGTAACTTGATTTTTAAAAATTGCTTTTAATTCTCTGGTTATAAATAATTACTATTGTTCCTACCATTGTTTGTTGGTAGAAACGATTTATCAGCCTCATACTTTTCTAAACATAGACTCAACAAAAGTAGATGGAACTAACGTTGAAAGCCACAAAAATTGCATAACTCCTAAATGATCACAATATTTCATTCTGTTTTTACATTGGGAAGGAAAAGTGGTTCCCACTAAACATCTCATTATTTTTCAGTGAGCTCTGTGAACAGAATGTAGAAGTTATGTTGACTCCAGAAATTATCCAGGTGGAATTCCCCATGTTGGACTATAAGGACACCAGGAAGGAGAAGTAAGTGGATGCTTTGATGCCTTGTTAAGAGATAGCCATGGATACAATTTGTCCTACATGAAGTACAAGACTGTCACATTGTCTGAGCCTGCATAGTTCAAGGTCCAAAAGAGACATATTTCTGATGCTTCATATATTTAGATGTGTATTTTATTTTATGCACAATTACACTCCCTAAAATGTTATTGGCAATAAGTCTTTAAACACCGAACCCAATTTTTCCATTCACTTATCATTCAGTTCCAGAGGTGTGTCTGTTTCTTATTAATAGTTGACTGAGTTTCATTCAATATAAGGAACCCAGGCTCCGGAGCCAGGCCAGACCTGGGGCTGAATCCCAGCTCCACCATTTATCACATGTGAGATCTCGAGCCAAGTCACTTACCTTCTCTGGTCCTCATTTTCTTCATCTGTACCATGCAGAAAATAAAATCTCTGTCATGGGACAGTTGTGAGGATTGGCTGAGATGCCAAACGTGGAAGCATCTAGCCAGTTGCCTGATGTGAACTAGAGCTCAGCAAATGCTCTTACCTCCTGCTGTCCATCAGGCACTGACTAGCTAAGCAAGCGTCATCCTTCCAAAGACTGGTCTTGAAAACACGGTCATAAACATGTAACATGCAGTCAGCCTCACTTGTGATGAAAGAAATGCAAATTAATACAAAAAATTGCTTTTGAAAAATACTATTGCAATGTAGATAAGTACCTATAGATCATATGGTTTATAAGTTTGAAATTCCAGGTATCCTTTTCTCACTCTTTTTCTTTTTAAAAATGCCTTTTTTGGGGGCTTGGCCCCGTGGCTCTCTCAGGAGAGTGCTGCGCTGGTAGCGCCAAGGCCAGGGGTTCAGATCCTATATAGGGATGGCCAGTGCGCTCGCTGTCTGAGTGTGGTGTGGACAACACCGTGCCGAGGGTTGCGATCCCCTTACCAGTCAAAAAAAAAAAAAATTCCTTTTTTATTATTTAAAAAAATCAGAAAATATAAAAATAAAATAAAGAAAAACAATGATCCTAGCACCCAAAGTTAGTAATCTAGACATTTTGATGTCTGTTCTTCAAACAAAATACATATTTTTTTATTTAACAAAATTAAATCTGTACTTTTATTTAACAATATATCATGAATACATATTAGCAAATATAAATATGCATCATTATATTTCACTGAGTAGATGTACCATAATTTATTTAACCAACCTCTACCGATGAACATGTGAACTCTTTTTAATGTTTTACTGTTATCCATAGTGCTACAAACATTCTTGTGCCAATTCCTTGCAAACTTATCAGACTGTTTCCCTAGGATAAATTCTAGAAACATAAATGCAGTCTGCATTTTAAGGTTTTAAAATATATTGCCTAGGGCTGACCCGTAGCTCACTTGGGAGAGTGTGGTGCTGACAACACCAAGTCAAGGGTTAAGATCCCTTTACTGGTCATCTTTTAGAAAAAAATAAATAAATAAAATATATTGCTTAATTGTCACCCAGAAAATACATCAAAAGCCCTCCTACCAGCAGAGGTCAGGACAGCCTGCATTCAAATGTTCTGGACAACATGAAATACTATCATTTTGTTTTCATCTGTAAGAACGGGATAAATTTTTTTAAAAAAATACATCATCTCATTGCTTTAATTTTTAACTTCTTTGTTCACAGATGATATTAAAATTTGTCCTCTGTTTATCAACTATTTTTCTTGTTTTACGAGAGGCTTGTTTTGCCTGTTTTGTCTACTTTTCTTATTTATTTTTAAGAGTCCCTCATTTTTTAAGGATAATTACAACTTCTTATATTTGCTGTAAATTTGTTTTCTCATTTTGTCTTCTAACTTTGTTTAGGGTGTTTTGGGGCCCTGCCTTTTCTGAAAGGAATGCTCACATATCTTGGAGCAATGTAGGGTTTCTCTGGTTTGTGATATTTTCAGAGGACTGTGGCAACCAACACTTCTCACAAAATAGATTGGCAGTTTCTGGAAAAAGAAAATTTAGGAAATAAAAATTTTAAATAGAATTCCATGAGCATCTGTTTTGGTCAGTTAATTAACTCAATAAAATATCATATTATACTATATAGCACATAAGACTTCTTGTATTTCAACAAATAGATGCACTTTGTATTTTGTTTCAAGTTTCAAATAGTTTAAGGGTTTTAAGTAAAACCCTTTTCCTTTTCTATTTCAAAAATTACCCCTGGACATAGACTGTCTTGCCCTGTGAGCAAGGAATGCCCAGTATCTCTCCATGCACTTACTCTTCTTCACCCTTTATACTGCAGACCTAGTGTTCAATGTCATTTTTTTATCAAATTAATACTAAATGAAATAGAAGTTATTACTATATATAGTCACCCAAAATAATATGTCGTTTTTTTTTATGCTTCAGCTACTTAACCAAAAAAATAAACTAACAATCAACTCTAAACATTTTCTGTGCACCAAATTAGCTTCTAATTTTTTCAAAACAAATGTATACATTTCACACACTTGCAATAAACATTCCCATGGAATTCACCTCTTTTGCAGTTAAAATTGTTTTATGTACATTTTTTCGTGTGTCAAAATTGTCAACATAATTATCATTTTATTGACTGTTGTATTCTAACAGGTTGATATCCCACAGACCATTTTCAAAAGTTTTCTGGTTCTGATATTCTCTGCAGCTTGTCTCAGGCATTGTCCTTTGCTCAGTTTTGTCCTCTCTGTCATTACTTGTTCCTCATTCTCACCTCCTTCGGCCTTAGCCAGAAGCCAACACAGTCTTCCCTGTCGGGCCCGGAGGGAACCAGAGTGTAGACACACAGGGACAGCACACAAAGAACACGTAAATGGTGTTTCATTTCCCCAAGAAGACCACTATCTACTCGGTTTCTGGCAAACATTTGTTTTCAGGGATGCCAAGAATTATCTGCTCTCCCTCAATGGCTGTAATGAACTGGAGAGATTCTTTTGCTGCCTAGAAAATGGTCTCAGCCCTCTCAAGACCCACTCAGGAATCATGTTGTAAAATGACCCAGAAGCTGTGCAGGTGACTTTAGTTGCTGACACTTCATTCAGCACTCCTTAGACTGTCACAATATTACTCAACCATTGATATCTTTAAGGGGATGCATGATCTATATATTTTTAGACATGATTCCATAAAATGATGCCAAATAATTTCTTTAATTATATGAATTAGGGGACATATTAATTCCCCTTTTTCAGATATTTCTGGTTTTCCAAAACTGTCAGGCATTTACCAGAATTTTACATCACCCTTTTTAAGAAAATGTTTCAGAAGCACTTAATTTTATATTGGATTCTCCTATCTCCCAGGCAGATCATATAGCTGAGCTCATAGTATTTAGATGAGACATCCATCCTTTCAGCCAATACAACCATCATTTCCTCCCAGATAGCTGAATGGTGGTAAGCACCATGACAATCTCTGAGCTGAGTCTCTATCTGCACCTTAACCCTTGGCCCAGCCCATCAAGAGGCAAGTTGGCCCCTAAGAAGCCCAGACATTGCCCATCTCTCAACCCTTTGTTTCAGCCCCCATTTCATCTTCTTACTGCCAGTGTCACAACACCACATCTGCTCGAAGTTCTACCCAGCAACCCCTGGCCACGCTTAGTATCAGTCTCGGCTCCATGTCAGCCACTACTTGATCCAAGTATGTACCCCTCCCTCTGGGTTCACACTCTTCTGGAGCTACTGTCAGAGTCAGAAATATTGTGTGTCATAAAGATGAAAAACCAACTGACACTGAGCATTTAGAAGATATTGTGCTAGGATCTCTATGAATAATAATATCTTGCTTCATCTTGACAACAATGCTGGGGGATAGAAATCACCACCATTCGTACTTCAGGAAACAGAGACTCCGGACATTTAGGTAACCCTGTGTGTCATAAAGATGAAAAACCAACTGACACTGAGCATTTAGAAGATATTGTGCTAGGATATCTATGAATAATAATATCTCGCTTCATCTTGACAACAATGCTGGGGGATAGAAATCACCACCATTCGTACTTCAGGAAACAGAGACTCCGGACATTTAGGTAACCCGCCCATGCTGAGAAACGGGTACAGCTGAGACTGGAATCACTTACAAGTTGAGTGTTTTTGCTGGTAACTAAGTTTTCACTAAGTATAATTAAAATCTTCTTCATGTATTTTAAAAAACCCACCTCCTCCAACCTTCACTGCCAGTGCTGGGCATTGGTGGATGACTTACATGTTTTATTAAGTGCTCTCATGTGTTCTTGTCATGTTCGTTGATATTCAGAGAAGTGAAAGACCAAGCACAACCAGCAGAGAACATGGGAGAAAAAGTGCTCGAGGAGATGAGGAATCTGCAGGGCAAAGCTCTCAACACGTACCTGATCCTACAGTGAAAATCGCCAGCAGGGCAGTGTCTCTCATTTGCTTTCTGTGTTCGCTGAGGTCCCTGGTGTCCATTTACATTCCAACCATTTTTGGAATTACAATTCCTAGAGAAAAATAATTGAAATGTGGATGATGTATATATTTTAAAATTATACTTTTTCTTTTTAAAAATAAAATGTCATTCACGTGTTGGCAATGTTGGAAGCTTCTTGGTGCAAGATTTCGTGTGGAACTAAGCCTTCTGAGCAAGGCGTGATGAGAGGGTATGAGCCAGGTGCTGACAGCTGTTTCTGAGGGTCTTTGGAGGTGTGGGGCCCAGGCACCAAAGTGGGATGGTTTGGGGGAGGGCCTGCTCTCCTACATCTGCACAGAACCAACCCCCTTTGCCCCCCGAGCATCACTGATTTGGCTTTGGCAGCCCCTCCCAAGAAGAGCAGTGTTGACATGGACACTGGCTCCCCAAGTAGCTGTGCTGGTGGCAGACACTGGCAAGGGGGGACTAGGACTGGAGAGGGCACTGTGAGGTGACTAGAGCTTGCAGACTGGTTTGAGAACAACTGGAAAACACCCCTCTGGGAGCTCCCAGAAGCACCTGGGGCAGGAGGTCCTTGCAAAGGAGCCAGGAGTCCCAGCGAACTTGTCAGTGAAAACCAGTTTTTGATTGTGTTTGTTAACATGGTTCCATTCATATGCATATGCCAGTAAGGCTGATAACATTTGGGGTATAACAAACCATAATTATCCAAATATATTTGGGTTTATTCTCTTCACTAATTTTTCCATGCATACACTTAAATAGCTGGTATCAGACTGTATGTATGTTCAATTTTTAAAAGGCTCTTCATTAACATTGATGCTGACATTTTTCTGGAATTTGTTTTGGAGTAGTGACCCCTCCTAGAAAATTTGTTTGACACCCAAACGCTTTAGGGACAGCATGCTGCAGTGTGTTTGAGGCAGCTCTTCACACACTTTAGACAACTGAATGTTCTTCAGGAGCATTTCCTTGTTGTCACTCAGCACAGCATTTAAACAAGTCAGCTTGGGTCTGTGAAACTCATTTCTTCGGTGTTTGTCTTGAAGAGCATCCCAGTCTAAGTGCAAAATAGAAGTTTCTATCATTCAGTTATGCAAGTCCCTGTGGGAAATGTCCTGGAGAGGGGGGATGGGGGACACTACAACGGGAGTGGAGCTCCATGGTCACCCCTCAGAACTAGGGTTGCCAGACAAAACACAGGATATCCAGTTAACATTGACTTTCAGACATGCCACAAATAGTGGGTTAGTAGAAAAATGTCCCAACAGTATGTGTGTGAACTATTTGGGACATATTACACTAAAAGTTATTTATTGTTTATCTGAATTCAGACTGGGCTGCGTGTCCCATGTTCTGATTTGCTGAATCTGGCAGCTGCACTCAGCCCTCAGCGGTCTGCTGAGAGGTGGTGTGAGAGCACGAGAGGACGTGGCTGCAGGAGGGAGAGGTGGTCGTCCCCGCAGGCTTTGTGGTGAGAGGCGAGGCAGGCTTTCTCACCAACTAGAACAGTTCATTTTCCCTGGGTCTACCATGTGCCAGACCCTCTGCAGGCCCGTAGCAGGGAACCAGTCCCCCAGTCTTCTCACCCTCCCCAGAATCAGGCAGCATGACTCCTGCTCTGTTGTGGCTACCCGGGACTTCTCCCTCGTCTCCCAGCACGCCAGCCANAATAGAAGTTTCTATCATTCAGTTATGCAAGTCCCTGTGGGAAATGTCCTGGAGAGGGGGGGATGGGGGACACTACAGCGGGAGTGGAGCTCCATGGTCACCCCTCAGAACTAGGGTTGCCAGACAAAACACAGGATATCCAGTTAACATTGAATTTCAGACATGCCACAAATAGTGGGTTAGTAGAAAAATGTCCCAACAGTATGTGTGTGAACTATTTGGGACATATTACACTAAAAGTTATTTATTGTTTATCTGAATTCAGACTGGGCTGCGTGTCCCATGTTCTGATTTGCTGAATCTGGCAGCTGCACTCAGCCCTCAGCGGTCTGCTGAGAGGTGGTGTGAGAGCACAAGAGGACGTGACTGCAGGAGGGAGAGGTGGTCGTCCCCGCAGGCTTTGTGGTGAGAGGCGAGGCAGGCTTTCTCACCAACTAGAACAGTTCATTTTCCCTGGGTTTACCATGTGCCAGACCCTCTGCAGGCCCATAGCAGGGAACCAGTCCCCCAGTCTTCTCACCCTCCCCAGAATCAGGCAGCATGACTCCTGCTCTGTTGTGGCTACCCGGGACTTCTCCCTCGTCTCCCAGCACGCCAGCCACACTTCTTCTGCCTGGAAATTTCCATTCCCAATGACTACGTGGCTTGCTTCTTCACTCCAGTGGAGAAACCCAGGGGTCAAGGAAATCAGGTGACCCCCCAAGTTGGTGAAGACCCTAAAGCCTGTGAGACATCAAGGCCTGGGCAGAATCAGACAGGAATCCTCTGGGCACCCAGAATGCAGAACTGGTTGGCTGTTCTGGGCAAATGGGCCAAAGTCGGTGACAGGGACACTGCCTGCAGTTGCTTGAGGACACCAGAGTCCTTATCCCAGAGTGATCCACAGCAGCCTCAGCATATGTTTTCTCCATTTCCCACCTGCCACCTCCACTTCCTCCTCCTCCTTTTTAAACTACCGATTAGTCCCACCTCGTTAGATTAGGGGATAAAATAAAGGTTGCATTACTTTTACTACTCGAAGCATATCTCCTATGCCATCTATAACGAAAATGGCCTGCTTACCTCCTAGAGATTCCTCTTTCTTCCAGGATAAGTCCAAGTACCCCAGGGACAGTGGGGCATCTTACTGGGCCCAAGAGACTGGCCCTGATGCCCACTATGGAGCCCTGAGCCTTTGGATGCAGTTGCTGCACCAGCACAAGGGTGTCCCTGCAGGCTGGCCTCTGATGGGTGTCCATCTGCTGTGGGACTGAAGCTCACCCCACCATTGCTGGTTGTGGAAGAGCTGCCACTCCATGCCAGTGCAGCCTGGGAGATGGCACATGTGCACACACACAAAGATGTACACACATGCGTGCAAAATTCAGAAGTATTGCTGAGTACCATCCAGGAGCCAGGCACAGATCCAAGTCTAGGAGGCATCACTACCCCAAGTCTGCCCCATCACAAAACAGATACACCATCAACAAAAAACAGATTTTGCACATGAGTAGTATAGTGTTAGGTCATGAGAACGACTGCAAAGGAAAACTAAAGTATGGCAAGGGGATAGGGAGTGGACACCAAAGGCCCCTCAGAGGAGGTGTCATTGAGCAGAGTCGTGACTGAAGTGGAGGAGCAAGCTGTGCAGTCATCGGGGGACAGAGCCTTCCAGGAAGAGGGGCTGGCACATGCAAAGGCCCTCCAAGGAAACGTGCTTACCATGCTGGAGGGTCAGGAAAGAGGTCGGGTGGCTACAGCAGAGTGAGCTGAGGGGAGTCACAAGGAATGAATACAGAGGTAGCTTGGGGCGGTCACATGGCATCTTGCAGCTAGGATGGGACTTTGGATTTGAGATTTCAGCTAAGTGAGACAGGGAGCCCTTGGAGAGTTTTCAGCAGGGCCCTAATGTGAGCTGTCTTCTGTTTTAAGCAGACTTTCTAAGTTTATATGGAGAACTGACTTAAAGGGGAAGGGTGCAATAAAGGGGACCAGCTGGGAGACCATGACAGAAATCCAGCTCCAGAATACTCCAGTCAGAATTCCTGCTGTGTGGCACCAGGGCCTTTTCTGGAGACGGACTGGTCAGACTCATCCTCTTAGAGTCAGGGTCAGACATCCTGTTACACCCACAAAGGAGAATAAAAGTGCTCCAGGGGCGCCGAGGGGGCAGGGCTGAGAAAGAGACCACGTGGGGCATATCTCCCCTGCCCACCCCTCGGCCAGGCTTCTGCAGGGAAGGGCCATACTCCAGGGCTTGGACCTGAGACCTCAACCCACCTGAACATCAGAATTACTTGGAGAGTTTTGTGAAAACGCGGTGCATGAGCCTGACCTCAGACCAACCGAATCAGATCTTCTGCAGTCAGACCCAGGCAGTAACAGTGCTCAAAGCACCCCGGGTGTCTCCTGGGCAGCCGAGACTGAGAGCTGTGGCCTCTCGGGTAACGTCTGCACTTCTTGCTACAGCCCCTAAGCCCTTGCTTCTCAGTGTTTTGTCTCTAGTTTTCTTCTGCAACCCCTTCTTTCTCTTCAGGGAGGAGGGAGAGACTTTGGAGCCTGCCTGGTTGCGTTTGAACCTCGGTCCT